TGGAGACATGGAAACGCTGCTGCTTTGCAGCTGCGTTACCCTGCTCCCTCGGGCTTGGACCCCTAATAATACGTTAGTCTTGTAGCACTTTTCTTGATGCTGAATGATGCTTTATAATTTCATGTATTATTCATTCACTCCTCAGTCACACTTGGTGGTGGAAGTGTAGCTGCCATTCTGCACCTATGGCCCCTCCAGACAGCCACAATCACACCAACAGATTTATACATGGGGAGGTTCTTAAGTGTCTAGCTCAGACACACAATGACAGATGGTGTGTGAGGTGTAAGTAACTCAGTAAAATACGATTGTGCAAGTCCATTCAATGATTTAAAAACTAACAATAAAATCTTGAAATCAATCCTAACAAAGATATTATATTTGCAAATAATTTGACCAAGAGGTAGCAGAAAATAGTAGTGGACCAAGAATGGAGCCTTGAGGAATGCCACAAGTGAGTTTTACAAAATTAGAGGAATTGTTACCAATTGATACACAGGATAACCTATCTTTTAAATATGATTTAAACCACTTTAGAGCAGTTCAAATCACACCCACAGAGTATTGCAGGCGGTTAATTAGAAAGCTGTGAGGATCAACTGTATCAAATGCTGCTGAGAGGTCTAACAAAACCAAAACTGATCAACAACCATTGTCCGAATTGTTTTCAACAAAAATGCTACTCAAGTAAAGTACAAATTATCATAAACTATATTTAAGTATAGTACTCAAGTATATTTACTTTGGTACTGCCTACTCCTGATGAGGGGGGCTGCTGGTCTGCAGAGTCCTAGACGCAGAGAAGAGTTCTTCAGGGAAACCTGAATTTGCTTGTCCTAACTGAGCAGAGACATCAGTACAGAGGAGACAGTAAATACAGACTCTCCTCTCCAGGAAGTGGCAGCTGATGAATGGATTGATGGAAGTCTGTCCTATGTTTTAATCTATTTTGTGTAAAGACATTGAAGAACTAGGAAATCACTGGTTCTACTTCCACCAAATTTATTGAATAAAAGCTCACAGGGAAACATGATAAAAACATACAACAATAGGTCATATTTTGTATTTTCAAATGATGCAGATGTAAAAAAAAATAATGAAAAATCTGCATATTTTGAAGTTTTGGCTCATCACAATTAATGATGGAAAGAATCTGATTTTGGGTTTAAACACCATCTGAGGCATTCCAAACATCTAATTGATTAGACATGTGCCACACCTTCAATTTAAAGACTAATAAATGTTTCAACTGTTTTGAAATACATTAAGATTTGTTGCTATCATGCATTAAAGGACTAACAATATAACCCTCCTCCCACACAGATGCATCAACATCACATGCATAAACTGAAATGATAAACTTTATTACAGAAATAAAAAAAACAAGTCCCATTTGTGACAAAGAATACAGACATAAGGTTTGTAGGGTTAGCAGGGTGGGAAAATGGGACTATAAAATTATAATTATTATTATTATTATTATTATTATTATTATTATTATTATTATTATTATTATTATTATTATTATTATTATTATTATTATTATTATTATTATTATTATTATTATTATTATTATTATTATTATTATTATTATTATGTATTTGCTTTTACTCTCTTATAGAATTAATTAATTCATACCTCTATGTTTTGTGTCATGCATTAAGTTTTTGTGTCTCAATGGCAGCAGATGGACTTTTATTCTCAGAGCTAATCTGTTCCAGAGTTGAGTTATCTTTGTGAATAATGTTGCTCAATAAAACAATTCTGTCAAATCAAAGGAGGGATCTAGTGCCTATCTCCAGCAGTCACTGTGTGAGAGATGGGGGACACCTGGGTAATTCTCCAGTTCATCACAGAGACACGTGGAAACAGTCATTCACACTCTTTCCCACACCTATTAGACATAATATTTAACGTGACATGTGTTTGGTCTGTGAGAGGAAACTGAAGTGGATCAACACATGCATGTGGAGATGTGTAAACTCTACACAGAGAAACCCCAGATGGAAGGTGAACCAGTGTCTTCCTTGCTGTGAGGTCACAGCTGTAACCACTGCTCCATTGTGCGGCCGTAGCTTTATTAAATACTTGGATATTTATTGACCTACATTCACAAATATCATGTGTATACTTAATAAACTATCAGTACCATTAGTACATGTAGTGGTGCAAATTGTTGACCTGAAAGTGAAGTTAAATCTAAGCAAAAGGTGTTTGTTTATTTTCTGTTTTTTTTCTTTTTGTAATTTGAGATTTAATTAACATCAATCTTTTCAGCCTCTCTTCTCAGCAGCATCCAGGATGGAGGTCACGTTTTCTTTCGCCTCCTGCAGGAGCGCAGAAACTTTTCTTTGTGTCTGCAGAACAAAACAAAAACAGATGTTTGATTAATCAAATCCTGAGGGTGGTTAATGCCCTGCAGACAGACTTACAGTCAGTTTAAAGGCTTCATCTGTGACGTCCTTCAGGTTGATCATCACATTGTAGTACGCTCCAAAGACCGCAGCCTCCAGAGCTTTAGCTGCAACCTGAAAACCAGCAGACAAAACATTAAATACGTTTTTTTAATCTTGAGAAATGATCATTTTCTGCTTGAATACAGGGAGAACACTGAGCCGTGAATGTTGAAATTTTTTTGAAGAAGCTGAAACTGCTGTTACTAAAACTTTGAGGCTAAAATTAACTAACTTGTAGCAAAATGTTAACATTACAAAAGTTGTAGCTGTAGCTACCAAAACAAAATAAAAGCTAAAATTTGTGAAACCCAAGCTAAAAGTATCAAAACAGCAGCTAAAAACTAAACGAAGCTTAACAGGACAAAAAGAGAGCCTGCAGCTGATTTTAGAGAATATTTTACTAAATAGAAAACTTTTGTTAATGAGACTAAATAATGCAAAAGAAAGTAACAAACTACAAAAGTCATAGCAGGCCTTAAAATGCAAAAATACCAGAAATGATCCATTAGTTCTGATCAGGCAAGAACTTTGCATAACAATATAAACTCCCAAGATATGGATGAAAAGTCCATCTCTGATCTTAAAGGAAAGTTGAACACAAATCAGTTTAGTGCAAATAAATCAGATCTGTTTAACAACGTAAATGTACCAAATAAATTTTCTTAAATTTCTAGGCATTTCCAGAGGAACAAGTTGATCTCGCATGAGCTGCGACCCAAATGTGTTAGGCCGTTTAAGCACACAGTCATAACTACAAAATGGTTTATACGCTGACTCAACATTTACACAAAATAAAAATTTTACACTCTGTGAGAACAGGTTTTATTGAAATAGGAGCTAAAAGCGAGAAAAAAATGATAGAAAACCTGGGGTCTAGTTTATTTTGTTATTATAATCTTGTGGACAGATTTGCAAACAAAGTGCAGCGAATCTCAGGATGAGGAGTTTTAGTCGGACCTGAGCGTCAGATTTGCAGCCGATGTTTCCGTACAGAACCATTTCTCTCAGAGACGGCCAGAGGACACTGATCCTTTCAGCCAAAGCCAAGGGGACAAAGACAGCCTGCTTCAGACCATCCTGCATGGCAGCGTCTCTTCTGTTGGACATAAATTATGAATTATGTCTGTATAAAGTATAAACAAGAACATTTTCAGGTGATAAAAACTACAGAATAAAGGTGACATGTTGTTTAGGTGCCTCCTACTGGTCTGAAAGTTACATTTTTACCTTTTAATTTCCTCAGCAGAGTTCTTTGGTAGCTTCAGTGCCGCCTGCATAGAAAAAGACAACATTTGGCCAAGTGTTTGTAGGAGTTTCTGCTGTCTCTGTAAGTTTGTGTTATATATACTGGACCGTCTCTTGTCTTTTCAGGTCTCAGTTGTCTCCGCAGGTGTCAGGTATTTGTCCTCACCATGAAGCCATTAAAGGCAGACGTGTCTTTGTCCACCATGAGCAGCAGCTCGTCCATGGCCTGATGAAAGGGAGGAATCAGTTTCCTCATCACACTGTCCAAATGGTCAAATTGTCTCTTGCCATACGTCATCTGTCCCACCATGGCACCAAGCCCCGCCCCCTGCAGGACAAACACAGAGTTGACAATGCAGATGTTTAAAGGGATCCCCGGTTAGTTGTAACATTAGACTTCATTTAATAAACATATACTTTAACTGTAAAATAAAGACTGTAAAAATACTGTAATAAATGAAACCAGGGAGCGCTGACAGAGAGAAGGTAGAAATGACTCAGCCTGTAACTGAAAATATGGATGGAGGACAACAGAGCTGCTTCATGGAAGAAGAACCTCAGCTTAGCCTGTTAGCTTTAGCATTAATCCCGATGGTATCACCATACATAGCTCAGTGCTACACATTCTCCTCTCATCACTGAGGTCCTCCATCCACATGAC